AATCCATCAAACTTTGTATTTAGACCTTTTACTTTTATTAATCTCTTGTATTAAAGAACTCCCACAATAGTATATGGGTATTACTCACTTTTCATATATAAAATCACTTTATAACCGTTGCTGAATGAATTTAAAAGAGGTTAAAATAACAAACACTAATAATCTATTCACGTATAATTTGTTCAAACTTTAAGGGAAGCCAATCTCATTTACCATGTATAATTTTATAGATGCAGGTGTTATGCATAAAATATGTGTTTAAATTGTTGAAGCCATGCAATAATGTAAACAATTAAGCCACCTAAATTTATCTACAGTACAAGATTTTTTTTTTTACAATGGTGGAAGTTATTTTCTGTATGTGTGTGTTATAGCTAGATGCCTAGATCTGCAGTACCCCTATTCAATATTAGAGTGGTATGATAGGAATCAGCCACAGTGCCCAATGAAATTAATTACATATAATTCCAATTTTTTGGATTTAATTAAAGAGGCAGGTCTTACTCCGAAAATAAAAATAAGCATTATATAATTTGGAAGGAATATATACATGAAATAAAGAAAAGGAGAGTATGATAAGACAAACACATGGAATATGGAATATAAATCAAGCATTTTGAAACATTTGAAAGTGAGCCAAAGAGGGACATGTTGACCGGATATTAGCCGACTACAAGCTTATTATTCCCTAATCAATATATATATATATATATATAGAGAGAGAGAGAGAGAGAGAGAGAGAGATAATTAATAGAACAAATAAAGTAGTAGAAGAAGTTGAAAATTGTTCAATTCCCGGAGAATCTAGAGCGCATAAGGCGCTGACCATGGCTTCGAAAAGTATTAACAAATGGATTAACGTTTTCTACTCATCTTCTTGTTGTTGTTGCGATCATCTATCTAGGTTTAAAGTAAACAAACAATGATATATATATATATATATATATATATATATATATATATAAACAATTGGATGCTATTGGGAGGAGAGCACAATTAAAACAGACAGAATGATAAAAACATTAGAAGAATTAATAATGGTGGGGTTTAGCTAGAGAAAATGAAGAAGAGAACAAAGAAGAACATATTGCCTCGACAGGGTCACGTCCGTATCTCACGTGATCATACCCATGTTGACGCCGAGGAATATGGTCTTTTTGGAATTTCTCTCCACGTCGGGTCGGATTATAATATGGATACGTATTCAAGACTAACATATTCATATTCCATATACTGACTCTCTGTATCGGATACAGATAGTATTAAAAAAAAAAATATATATATATTTTGTTTTTCTAACACATATCTAATACTTGGACCATGAATTTTAAACATTAAAATGTAGTATTTTTTAACAATAATATTATAATCTACTTTTAAGAAAGTCTAAAATAATCTTTTTAAAAAAGTATTACGATATATATATATATATGGTGATTTAGTACAAAGTATGCAATTTGAATTTTAAATCTTATTTTGTTTATTAGTCATAATATTCTATAAAATAATAATATATATAACAATTTTGTATGTATATAAAAATATAATTTATTTACATTTTATTTTTAAAAAATTTATATCATGTATAAAAATATAATTTATTTACATTTTATTTTTAAAAATTTATATCGTGTTCTATATCTATATCTATGCTTCTCAGTCATACAATATAGAAATCGAAAGAAAGTAATACTATTGAGCATTAGTTAGTGGCTGAATTGGTAGATGATCCAACTCTCCGAAAGTGTGTCCGTATTTGAGTACCCCTCCCTAATTTAAAAATAAAAAAAAAATAAAAAAAAAAGTAATGTTAATTCTTGTAAGGTCATACTACAAATTATTCCTCAATCAACAGTCACAGTGAAAGTAAGTTCACTGTGAACTTAGAAGCATTCATTGTAGGCTATTTTATATTTTATATTTTTGTATTTAAATGAAACTGGGCCTAAGGTCAGTTGCATGTGGGTCTGAGGCCCCAGTGTCGCCGGACAACCCAGCCACAATCTGACACTCGCTATATATCTATATATATATATATATATATTCCTTACCTTCTCATTCCAAATCCGATTATTTTGGTGCCGTTCGCACGTGTACAGCTAGATATTTATTGGTCCATAAACGTGCACACGAAGGAAGACTCGAGCCTAGGGTAGACTTATTATTAGAATTAATGACTACCTACACCAAATTTTTAGAGCTGTCAATAAGAAAGGTTTCGGGATGTTTGGGGATGGTTTGTGCCCGATAGACAGTGAAATTAAATATGTCAGACAAAAAAAATACTACGTAATAGTAATAACATATATATATATATATATATATATATAAAGAAAATAATTACTCCGTAAATCAATACTATTTAAGTCAAAATTACAAATAATGAAAAAAATCATTAGACTAATAAATAAATAGATCTATAAGTTCATTAGGTATTTTTATTTTGAAATAAATTTTTTAATAATAATAATTTAGAGTTTAAAAGTCAAATAATTCAATTGATTTATATAATGAATTTGTCCTGATGAGATTAGTCTCTACTTATTTAAAAAATTAGATGTATTGATTTAAAAATCACTTGAATTCAACTTGTGTGGAAATTTTTAGTCTTGTGTCCAAACTAATATGTATTTAATCTTTTAGTAATGATTTCTTTATTTACATAATTAGAAAAGGGTTGTTGTAACAAATGTCGAAATAGACACCCACCGACTTAAATGAAGATTTAATTCAATCTTCACTTGCTCATGTATAATAATAAATTTAAAAAAAAAAATGATATTATTTACTATTTTAATACTCCGACTTAAAACAAATATGACTTGGTTATTCTAAAATTTTCACTTAAAGAGGAGGTATCATTACTATTCTTATTTATTTCCATAAAATAGTCTCTTTTTCTTTTACTTATTTTTCAGTTTTACATAACCCCTTTACTTATTTTCTTAGTTTTCCTTGTATCATCTTTTTTATTTTATTTATTTATTTATTTATTTTTCACATCAAGTTTCATGATATTCAAATATAAGAATTTGATTTGTACAAAATCTACAACAAAAATTACAATGCTATTTTACAATTTTTTAATACTTTGATTTTTTTTTTTTTTTTTTTAAATGCCTCTCATTATTTTTGTTTATTGGAGTTAGATTAGCTTTAATTATTATATCAATTAACAAATGTCTATCAAAGTAATTGATGTATATTAATGATCAAAGACACAATGTTTTATATATCTCAAGAGTTCTTACATAGATGCAATATGATGTGTATATATATATATATATATATATATATATATATAATAGATACACAATTTGATATACATGGTGATTGAAATTTTAATTGTTAATAAAGATACTAGATTAAGATAAATCTAAAAAGGGATTGTAATTTTCTAAATAATTAATTACCGTATATTTTAATATGAGTCCTATTATATTTGACAAGTAGTAAGTTTTTATTTATCGAGATAAATAAGAGGACTCATTTAGTAAAGCCACTGTGTGACACTACTAATATTTTGGCTTCGCGAGGACATCTTTTGCTTACCCTTGTTTCCAAATTTTGTATCTAGATTTCATCTTCGGAATGGGATTAAAACCCTATGTTCTCGTTGTACTTAAAAAGAAAAAATAAAATAAAAACAGTTCGATTATTATTATTATTTCGGATTGTGTATTGTGTATTGTAACTAAACAAGCACATTTTTAGTTGGTAACGTAAGTTTGCTGCGATTTGAATAATATTGAAATGTTTTTTTAAAAAAAGAGGTCAGAATTGAAAGAACTGAATTGGTGTTTTCGATTGCTTACGCATTATGGCAAAAACATTACAGTGATGAACAATATCCAAAAAAAGAGAGTTTATACTATTGTTTTTTTAACTAACCATTTTATTTTTTAAACATACAATCCTTTTTACTAAATATGTTTTTATATTTTTGCTTTAAAAAATTTTACAATAAATTTAACGTTACCAAAGATGCTTCTGAATACCATTGAACACACTCTAAAACACAAACGTTGCTTGTCAAAATAAAACACAAAATAAAAGTGATTACCAAACAAGACCTTACTAAAGCAAAATCAAGAAAATTCTAAGACGTATCTAAAAAATCAATTAAGGTTACAAAAGAGGAAAAGAAAAAACCCGGATTAAATGAATATTAGTTGTAATTCTTATAAATAAATTAAAAAAGGGAAGGAAAATATATTAGTTGTCATTCTCATTTATAAGCTTAGAAAACAATAAAGAAGATTATTTTAACCATTCATGATATTTGTGAATGATCATATATAGAGAGAGAATAATGAAATATATCTTAAGAATAATTGAATGAAAATGATATTTGCACGGATTTATTATAGTGAATTGTTAAATACACAAGGAACAATGTTTAGCTACTCACTAATGAATAGGGTGAAGTTATTCACTCTTATATGGTCCAATAACAAAAAAACATAATATCTTTAATAATAAAATAATTCACACATTTCTCTGATTTCTCGGATCAACCATTGAATAAACGTATATAGTATTTTTAGGTATGAATTATTTTATTATTAAATGTGATGTGTTATTTTATTATTTGATGAGTAGCTTTCCCTTACCCACCAGTGAGTAGCTAAGTATTATCCATACACATAATCTCTTTCTAAAAAAAAAATGTTTTAAGCATACTCAAAAGGCTAGTCTAAGTCACATAATATTGTTGATTTTGTGACCCCATGAAACATAAAACATACTTTGATTCATAACCTATTTATATATATATATATATATTTTAAGGAAAACGGAAATAGGAGTAATTTAAATCAAGGAAATAATAGAAAACTTAAATAAAATTCTCATAAATACAAAAAGAGAATGAAATTTAAATAGGTCGCAATCTATCACCGTAGAGAGAGACTCAGTACCCATTTCAATATCCCACTGAACAGTACTCCTTTTGTTTTCTCGATTTCCAACCATTCCCTGCAGAACCACCATTATATCCCTGCACCTGCCTTTTCATTTCCCATTATGCAGATAAGAAAACCAAACACCTCTCTCTCTCTCTCTCTCTCTCTCTCTACACCTCTCTCTCAGTAGAAAGGTATCTGATCCCTCTGCATCCTTAAATACACAACTTCCCCTTTTCACTAACTTTTCCTTCAAAGCTTCATCCCCCAAAAAATCTCTGTTAACCACCTCCTTTCCTGCCTGCATTATTATTCTGACTAGTATATAGGATATATTTACTACTAATTACTCTCTCTGCAATTCCTTCATCTCTATATATTTCCTTTAATTTCTCTTGATTCTTTATGATCACCCCTAGAGACCTATCATACTAAAAGCCTCTCTCCCTCTAGGCACCCATGCAAATCACAAGGTACTCATGATATAATCACAACTCACCCCTTTCCTATTTTCCTCCTCTCTCCTCATTTCCCTCCAATCAAAGTTTCAGTTCAATTCCCTTCTTCTCTTTCCATCTCTCACTTCTTTCCTTATTTGTGATCTTTGACTCAACTACTAAGTACCCTCTTAATCTCATGTTCCAAAGTTCAAACCCCATGAGGACTGCTTCAGCTTTGCCTGATCTCTCTTTACAGATCAGCCCACCATCCATTTCAGATTGTGATGTTAAAGACACGTGCTATGATGGGTCGATGAGGAAATCAGCTTGCAGTGACCGGAGCTCGACCACTGATACATCCGGTAGCAGCGGAAGCGATTTAAGCCATGAAAATGGAGTCATATTGCCACGAGATAGTGGCTTCAAACATGGTCCTAGTCCTACTGAACCAACACTGAGTTTAGGGTTTGACATAGCAGCTTTGAATCCTCTACCGGCTGTCCAACTACCAAGAAACTTCCAACCTCACCACCATTATAGTTACCAGCCCCAAATTTATGGCCGTGAGTTCAAGCAAAGTTCGAGAATGATCAACGGGATTAGAAGGAGTATTAGAGCTCCAAGAATGAGATGGACTTCAACCCTTCACGCCCATTTCGTTCACGCCGTTCAGCTTCTTGGTGGCCATGAAAGTAAGCCCAAACATTCTCAAATATATTCTCACATTAGTTAATATATACATTTCCTTTTTATTTGATCTTATATGACTTAACACAGAAGTACCAATCCTTACAAACCTGTTCGGGTTTGGAGTCTACTTGTACTTCTGTATCTTACTCGACGAAGAAAACACACACAAGTATTTAAGTATGTGTGTTTTGATATTGTCACAGGAGCAACGCCTAAATCTGTATTAGAGCTGATGAATGTGAAGGATCTAACCTTAGCTCATGTGAAGAGTCACTTGCAGGTGGGTTTTTCTGTATTCAATCACTATTTCTTTGAATTTAAGGAGGAGATTGATTTTTTTTTTTTTTTTTTTTTTTTTTTTTTTTTTTTCTGATTTTCATGGTTGTGTTGGTATCTTTTCTATTTCATGATGATATATATTTATCTGTATATTGATATTATTCCAGTGTAGTGGGGGTGTAGTACAAAGGGTAAGGACAAAATGGCATCTAGAGGATGTAATCTTCGCAATGTGGACCTTTTTTTATTTTTTATTTTGTGGGTGTTCATGCAGATGTATAGAACAGTGAAGAGCACTGACAAATTAGGAACAGGTATTTCAATTTTCTCTCTGATTAAGGACACTATATATATTATATATATATATATATATATATTTTGTTCTTTGTGAGCTTGTTGAAAAATAGATCCAATTTTTTTTTTTTTTCCAAAAAACTAAAGAAAAATAGTAGTTAGGATTGGACTGACTTATAGTCCATGTGAATAATTTACTGTGGTGTCTGATAAAGCAAGAGCAAGGGCTCTATGATTATATATGATGATCAAAATGTTGCAGGTCAAGGGCAGACAGATAAGGGTTTGAAACAAAGGACAGGGATAATTGATGTGGAGACAGGATTGTGTAGTGAGAATGCTGATCATGATCATATCAACCCTTCTTATTCTATCAACCCATTACTACCATCACCACCACCACCACCACTAGAAAATTCCCAAAGGTGAGTTTATCTGCAGCATGTACTCTCTCATTTTTGTTTCTTTTCTAGTACATCATTATATAAGGTACCACATGTTTCCTCCCATTCATCATTACAAATTGAAAGATATAATGATTCGCTTGAAGGGCATCTAATCAATCAGTGCCGACACGAATACATGTGAAAGAAGTCCAAATTGGTTACCGACTGATGTGACAATCATTGAGATAAATATTTTAAGAGGAGAGACAAGGATAAATCATCTTTTGTAGGCTTCGTACCATTACTCAATTATATATACACACACACAATTGCCGCTTGGTGGTGGAATTTCTTGGTCCAACTCCAAAGTGGTGTTTTTCTTTGTGAATATTGGTGTAGATATAGAATGTGATTAATTTTATTACAATTTAATTACATTGATTGTGATGAACATATATAGCCTAGGGTTTCAAGCTGGTGGAGTAGTGATTTTAGTATGCCCTTCTGTGGTCGATCCATTAGATTTTATATGTATGGATCTCGAGGAACTCTAAAAGTCAAGGACTAGTGTTGCTCAAATCTCAATGTAGTTTAAATAGAAACTTATTAGTGTGTGTATGTGTGTGTAGTAGTGCCATTACGTGCACCTATCAAGTTAGGTTAAATTTAGGTTCTTAAAGGAGTATTTAGTGTTGAATGTTGGCTGGATTATGTTGACTTCATCCATGGACGGCTATGGACTATTCATCAATGACTCGAGAACTGGGGTTTGTTACTATATTTAATATTTGAATGCAGATTCTACTACCTCATGTATCGGTATGAAGAAGAGTTCAAAAGGACAAAACAAAAAAAATGTTCATTTGATTAATATGAATATTGGCAAGTCCACTTACACACACACACACACACACACGTCCATAAAGATTAGTGTAATATGTGTGCGTGTGTCAAGCCTTATGGCTTACAAAGAGGAGAGAACCCTAATCCATGGGAGATTGAAAAAATATGTGGAATGGCAATTATATCAAACTCTCAATATATGTAAATAAAAAATCTTTAAAGTAAATTTGAAATCTTTAAAATTCTATCTTCACACTAACAAAGATGTTGACACCTTGAAAAATCACTAACAAGTGATCATGTTCTCTCTTGTTTTAACTTGTTCATTCCTGATTCTCTTTATCTTTCTCTGAAAATGTGAGCAGAGGTTCATGGTCATCATCGATGGAGACAAAATATTGGAGTCAATCAAGTCAAGAAAATGCATTAAGTTATTATGATTTGAGGGCAAATGACAGTACCAAGGTATGTTCAACTACAAAATATATATATATATATATACACACACACACACACACACACACACAATCATATAATATACACACACACACAAAAGCATTTTAAATTGAAATTAATGTGATGATCAATTCTTGCAGCTGATAGTTAAATTCCTTTGATCTTTGTTAGGTGGATGGACATGAAGGTGCCCTCCATGTGTCTGCAGGAAGAGAGAGAAAAATGTTGGAGAATAGCTCCTTGTCATCTTCTGATATGGTGGTTGATCTAGAGTTCACTCTTGGAAGGCCAAGTTGGTAAATTGACAACAATACCACTGATGATCAATCTTCAAATGAGCTAACACTTCTCAACTGTTAGGCACTACATGCAAATACATGTTCTTGAAATTCTGTCTCGAGCATAAAAGGGAGAGAAGAGAGACAAAAGAAAGTAGGAATTGTTCGATTTTGTTGGATAAATGATCAATGATTTCTTGTAGGATCTAATAAGTTTGTAGGAAATAGATCTAAGGGTGTCTCTAATGATTTTCTCTTGGTGTACTTAGATGTTTTTTGGGATTTCGGAATATTCGTCATAATTATTCAGGAATTCATGTCCCATACAGTTGCCATTGATGGTATCTGAGTGAGCATGTGGGCTCGGATGAGGTGAAATATCTTGGCTAGTTTATGTAAAACCATGTTGATTCTTCATATGGCAATCTAACAAGTATATATCATCCTTGAGCGCCCTGGCCTTGGCAATTACGTGCAGCCTACATTAATATTGGGGCTGTAACGCATGATATATATATATAAATTATCATGGACTTTTGAAATGAGCAATTTGAATATAAAGCTAGTGTTGCATGAAACATTCAATTTTATTTTCTACTTTTGAAAATAAATATTATTATTTTGTTGCCAACATTTCTATAGTAAACTCCACGGTTTTAAAATTGGAAATAGTCTCTTCACTTGAAAATAGGGTTGTGTACATCTTACACTCCTCACGCCTTACAAAGATGGGAGCCTTGTGTACTCAGAGAGACTCTTCTTTAGTCGCTAGAAGAAAGATGTTAGAACGGTCCCCAATTGGATCCGTCAAATCATTTGTTTCATTTCCATGTCGATTGATGGAATAATTAGTACTGTATGATAAAATAAGCAACACAAGATTCTATATATATAACAGAATATTTTAGAGGATGTTTGGCATCAACCTTTTGGCTTTGATGTCAGTGTGTTCCATTATGAGAATAAGGCTTTTATATATATATATACACACTAGATTGAATAATCATCAAACAATGATTTTTAGTCACATAAAATTATTAGGTATGCTTCTCTAGTTATATCTCACTCTCGAAAATGAATAGAGAACTTGTATAAATGAACATGCATTTTATTAATTTATAATTCTAAATAATATGTATTTAAGAAAAAAAAACTAAATTTTGATTCTAAATAATAATGAATATAAATATTAAGTAATATATTTGAAAGTATTTTGCATTTTTCATGTTTACAACTATCTAAAGATGTAAAGTTTAAGTATATACACTTACCTTAATAGGACCTACATGCAAGACCCCTCATATATTTTCCATCTTTCAGTATGTAAATCACTGGTATTCCAGGGTGTGTGTGTGTTGTTTTTTTTTAATGGCATATTTATAATTGCAAATACCCATAAATGGGCAAAGAGGTCGACATGAATAAAAGACTTGAGATAAAGCTACAAAAGCAAAGTAGTCCAAACCCACACTTAATGGTTAACCCAAAACATAGCTCCAAAGGCTTGAAACATGGATTAGATTATCCAATAGAGTGGGGGAAAAAAAAAAGTCATAACGCATTAGATCACTCCGTCGTCATTTTAACACTATGTAAGTGTTTTTTTTTTTTTTTTTTTTTTTAACCCGGGATGGCAAGAACCCGTAGGACCCCTCAATAACTCGACTAATCTCCGAGGACCCGGAATGGCGCTTCTCTACTCAGGCTGGGTAAGTCACTGCAGGGAGAGTAAAAGCTAGCCACAAAGAACACCCAGCGGAACTGGAATCCCCTTTAGGCTTGCTAAGCTCCAAAATTTAGTGAGTAAACCGCTGAGCCATATCTGAAGTGGATTATATCGTAAGTTAATAAGTCACCAATTGAAGTCTCACCTCCTAGGTAAGTACGATGATATACCTCAATGAATTTTCATGAGCAATCATCTCATTCTAAGACATTTGATGATGCTTACACAAATTACCTTTCTAAGACGTGCATCATAGTAAGCACAACCGTCATACATGTATGTGGTGAATTAACCAATTCACTCTACAAATTACAAATAAATATTCACTTCACAAAAATGTGCAACTCGACCTAAGGATTACTACATTTGAGAAGTTGATATTATAATTACTCTAAACTTCTCGAGTTTAGAGTAATAGCTTTGTTTTCTTAACAATCCAACATTGGCTTTATACCCTTTGAGACTAATTTGATTAAAATTTTAAGAACAATGTGCTCAAACAGATTAAAAATTTCAAAATTTTTAAATATTAATGTACTCAAACAGATTAAAAACTCCAATAAATGATTTTTCTAACACATAAACAATTTGATTTTCAAAGATTAAAAAAAAAAAAAAAACTCGTCGGAGAGCATCATACAACAGAGTATATCGTGTAAATTAGGAATTGACTTGGCCTTGACGCCATGAGAAAGCTCTTGAAACTCTCTTCCTTTTGCTTGTACTCTACATAATCCTCTTCTTCTATTCTATGCGGTTCATCCACGACCACCTCCTGAACATCTACCATGTTACGATCATGAAACCTTCAAGATCTTCGTACATTTGAATAGTGGCCACATAAGTTACAATTTTCAAATTTTACAATAATTTGAGCACTGCTTAAAGATAGTGGCCAGTCAACAATGAAAATAAAAAATTTGTAGAAGATCAAATCACACTGGCATAGAATGATATAAAAAAAAAAAATAAAAAAAAAAAAAAAAAAAAAGAACAACAGAGATTGGTCAGATGCATCATACTGGCCCCAACTGCAATCGTAGATTTTAATTCCTGGCTCCAAATGCCCCTCCACGTCCATCTCTCTTTTATTAATTCTCATCACCCCTCCTTTTTCCTATCTCTCTCTCTTCTCACTCACTCACTAAACCACACTCTAAAGAAAGATAAAACACATGTCGATCTTCACCCTCAGCATTTAGCCATTTATATAAAAAAACAATAAAAATTTTAAATTGTATAAAACATATATAATATAAGAAAGGGTAAAGGGCAATAAACCCCCCTGAACTTTCAGCAAAAAACAGAAAATCCCCCTAAACTAACTAATGCCCCCTAAACTATTTAAAATGTGAAAATTAAGGAAAAATTGTAATATATGTTCACCGGAGCTCACCGGAAAAAGTGAGATTAATGGTGGTTCGTCGCGGCCCACCAAAGCATGGACCAAAAGATAGTGGTGTTGGGCTATGGTCAAGTTACATTTATAAATTACCATTATTACCTTTCACTAAAAATATAGTTAGGGCAAGTAGGGATCGTCCCAAGAGATTAGTGGGTCGTATTATGTTGTGGAATCGAGATTAGGGTTAGTAAGTCGAGTGATCAAAAGATTGGTTGTTGAATTACACTAAGATGCAATTTAAACTAAAGTAAACAATTAAATGTAATGGAGAGAAAATAAAAGAGAGATCTTGGGATTTAGAGATCACCTCTAAGCATAGTTTTTTTACACTCTTAATGAATGATTAATGAGGGGGAAAACATGTATTGTAACATAGTGTGTGTGTGTGGTTGTTTTAACAAGCATCGATGACAAATTAAGTATATATTGTCTAAGCAACATGGTGGATAGGACAATATATCAAACTAAGCCATTAATCATTTCTTTAAGCTCACAATTCAAACACATCACAAGGTTAGAGATATATGCTACTTGCTTTCATAAGTATAGAATATCAAACAACAAGCATGGATTGTCCTCCCATTTAACATCTAAACTACAACTACACTACAATTAAGCTAATGACATGAATTAAACTAATTAAACTAAGGGAGAGGCACAATCCATCAAGAAATGAGTATGAACCATCAAATAAACCATAAAAGCATTTCATTAAGCACTATGTCTTGACAATCTCTAGATCTATAGCATTAATACATATAGACATGCATCAATAACACAAGAAATAGAGATAAACACATGAACATCTATTCTAGCATACATAGACATATGGATAGAATGAAATAATTAATTGGACGCATTAAACCACACAAATCATTGAATAAACAAGATCTATGTATATAAATATGTCAAAACATCTATCACAATACAAATCCTCTATAAAATACATAAATCAAGATATAGAAATCATGCTTAGGGCTAACTCTAGCCCCAAGAGGATGTCTAGTCACTCATGGATGGTGTCTTCCAACCCCCAAGGGCTAACTCCATGGTAGAGATTACTCCTCTTCTTGGTTGATGGAAGAACTCCAAGTTTGTGTCTCTAGCTAGCCTCCTTTTTTCTTTTCTTACTCACTAAGAATATATGGAAATTGTGGCTCTAGTGTATGTATCTAGTATATGTCAAGAATGACTCATATTCCTTATATAGGTAGGTTAAATGTCACCCCCAATGAGCTGGGCTCGTACACCAATATTCCTTCCAATGATTGGATATGAGACAACTTTTAATAAGCTGAAATTTGGACTTCTCGGGCTTGAGGAAGTTTGATCAATCGAACTTGTGGTGAGATCGATCAAACATGGCTGAGATCTATCGAACTTAAGCTGGATCGATCCTCTATGGCTTCGCCTTTTTGGATAAAGACAAATCTGAGATATTTTGAAGATATTTTTGGGAAACAGACAAATGTGGTAGGTAGGGTGGTACAATTGGATAAGATGGAATCTTTTCGATCGATTGGAAGAAAGTTGGATCGATCGAACTTTATGGGATCTTTGGATAAGGACAAAAGAGCTTAGATCCATCTTGAAATGCTGAGATCGATGAACTTTCGATCGATCGGATATTTTATGAGATCAATCGAACTTGCTGAATTTCCACCACTTGCTTCCTTTTGCTCCCACTTTGCTCCTTTCTTTGATTCATCTCAAGATTGCTTCAATTATTCTCTTATTTAGCTGAGTTAGCTTATTTTGGGATAAGTACCTGAAAATGGAAAAAATACAAAATCAATCTAAAACGAGAAAATAAGATAGATAAAGGTTCTAGAATACCTAAGCTTAAGGGGTTTAAATTCGCACTTTTTAGCGCTCATCACACCCCCAAACTTAAATATTGCTAGTCTTTAGCAATGAACTAGAAAGTAAAGGAATGAAATGAACAACTATACAACTATGAATTAAAAAGCAATAAATGGATAACGCCACTTTCATAGGGAACACGATTACATTTAGCATATGCAACAAGTCTTTAAAACCCCTAGGTTACCCCTAGTGGACGAGTGAAGTCTCGTGAGGCTTTTCAGAAATGATACCCACAAACATTAAGCTTATTATTTCAAAAGAGGCACCAATATTGCAAACAAGTATTAGGAAAAAAACTACCTCAAGTATGCAATTTTTCAAACATTTCTAAGCAATTTTCCAAAATC